TCGAATCAACATTCTATGAAGGGATACACGGTTTCATATCATGATGATAATGCATACCAAGTTTCAAAGAGATCCGTTGAAAAAAGTAGGAGAAGATTGCCAGACAAAAATCGAATACTGAAATAAAGAAAGGGCAATAACGTTTGCAAAAATTGATGAATAAAAATTATTTTCTTGGAAACACAACAACATATCATGATTATTTAGCCAACTAAGTTTCAAAGAAATCCGTCAAAAAATCTAGGAAGGACATTGCCGGACAAAAATTCAAATACTTAAATGAGCAAAGGGCAATCACTTTTGCAAAAATTGTCAAATCAAAATTCCTTTTAGGGAGACACAACTTCTTATTATCATGATTATAATGTATACCAAGTTTCAAAGAGATCCGTTGAAAAATGTAGGAGGGCATTGCCGGACAAAAAATCAAATACTGAAATGAACAAAGGGCAATTACTTTTACACAAAATGTCGAATCAAAATTCTTTGTAAGAAAACACAACAACACATCATGATCATTTAGCCTACTAAGTTTCAAAGAAATCCGTCAAAAATGTAGGAGGACATTGCCGGACAAAAAATCAAATACTGAAATGAACAAAGGGCAATTACTTTTACAAAAATTGTCAAATCAAAATTCTGTTGAGGGGGACACAACTTCATATTATGATTATATTAGTTTCAAAGAAATCGGTCGAAAAATGTAGGAGATTGCCGGACAAGCAAACGTTAACGCCGGACGGACGGACACACCCATACAATAATACTCCCGTCAAATTTGACGGGCGTATAACAAGAAGCCCAATGGGCCTGCATCGCTCATCTGGTATTAATCTCACACTTGTAATCTTAAAAGTGGACTTAAATACAGCTACAAGCAAAATATCAGTGTTTGATTCAAAAGAACCTATTAAAATATTTTAACATATGACGCCTGTGACCTTGAATGTCAAACAAGGACATTAGGTTGAACAGAGTTGTTAGTCTTCTAACCCAGCATGCTTCTGGCAAAATATCATTACCCTGACCCTTTTGGTTATACAGAACAGAGTATTTAAAGATTTAAACATATATTGACCACTGTGACCTTGAATATGGGCGAAGGTCATTCACTTGGTAGTCCTTCATCACCCTTGGCCTTTTGCTTATTTAGAAGAGGTCGTTTAAAGGTTTTTAACATATTTGACCCCTGTGACCTTGAATATATGTCAAAGTCATTCATTTGAACAAACTTGGTAGTCCTTCATCCCAGCAAGATACTGGCATTATCCTAGGTCTCTTGGTAATTCAGAAGTAGTTGTTTAACGGTTTAAAACAATTTACCCCTGTGAACTTGAAAAAGATGAAGGTCATTTATTTGAACAAACTTGGTAGTATAGTATACCTTATCGCTTCACAATTGAAGCTTATAAACATAGACACTCATATTGCCATAATTTTCCAAGTTGTTTTCATTGAATACTAAACCATAGAAAGAAATTGTTTACGTTATCGCAGAACATTGCTAAGCACAGGGGCCTAACTCCACTATTGGAATGTGTATGTTAACTTCCGCATTCGTTACACTCTTTGTTTTAATGGAAATTTGTTTTGACATCCCTGAAATACAAAACAACAGTTTAGGAAAAAAAGTTATACAACACATTTATTAGAAATTGAAAAAGAGGGGAAGACGAGTATGGGAAATGTCAAGTGAGTCAAGTGAATCTAGTAGTGATCAAAATGGAAAAGAATCCATTCCATACAAGGACTGTGACTTATTTTCTCAACATCACGATGGTGAAGTGTGTGTGCCATGTGGGGGCAATGAGGGACACTTCTCAAGATGGGTAGGTTGCGAGAAGTGTCCAAAGGTCATGGTGCAAAGCATGATTTATGTATTTAAATTGCCCTTCATTTAAATACAATAAAATATTTCATTGAACAAATGGTATACATGTTAAATAACCTGGTAACAACAATGACAATTCAAATGTACATAAAATGGTATGACTTACCTTTGATTGACTCCGATTAAAAAATGTCCCGCCTTGAACTTCCAAAGACCATGTGTAAATGAACAAGAAGTAGATATGCAACAAATGCATCATCGGTGATTGTATTTATTTGATTTAAAGGTTCTCAACTGAACCAAAACACTCTTGGTAACACCAGTGACAAAAAAATAATATAAAAAAATGGATAGGTAAACATTTTCTTGAAAAAGCCTTCAAACATTAATTTGGCCACAAATTATTTATTTATCAAAGGTATTGGTAATTGTCGACAAAACTATCGCAATATTTAGTACAATATCTCATTCAAAGATTTAAATATGTTTACTAAATCCCTAATTGTTATTTTAATCTCAAAACTTTTACATTATGTCATGTAAAATGTACCGAAAGTTACGTCAAACTTGTCGGACAGCGATTTGGAACTTTTCTGATAATGACTAATACACTATGGCTTTATATACATTCTCTGGTTACAATATTGATATATATATTACTCCCGTTGTATTATGTGACCTCTACACCAAATCTAGTCAAAAAGTGTAGGTGTTAATAAGTTTCAATGAGATTTATTTAATTATCCACTCAGACAGAATACTCCATAAATAGAGTGGCGGTCACGTAATGGCAATTACACTTCTGTTTTAGTAGGGTTTTGTTTACAAATCAATGTAACTTAGATATCTAACATGTTTTTAAAAAGTTGAGGTGTGTTGAATAAAATGCCCTAATAGGATTTATTTATATGCTTTATTGCATAACTGGTACATCATTCACCGATTATAAAACCGTCGACCGAGTAGATGTGCATGTTGTTTTTTTTATCCTGTAACAACTGTAAAATTGTGTGGTATTTAACTGCTATACGTAAGCGTATGTATTTACAGCTACCTGTTTGTTATAACATGTCACGCAAGTGACAAAATGTGGAAGAAAAAGATCTCAAGAAAACTAGATAAATGTTTAATCTGTAATGTGATGGCAATACTTGCGGCCCTAACAGATGCCATGTCGCAAATCTTTCTTGAAAATGAATATGGAATAATTCAAAGTTAATTTACATATTATACCGATAAACATCCTCAGTGCATGCATGCACACTCGATTAGTATCTATCAATATATTCTTATCTATCACTACTCTTTTCGGCAAAAAGTAATCACTTGGTATAGTCAGTAAGGAAACACCTATTTCGGGTCAACTAAATATGCACTGCACCATATGGTTATTCGTACATGTACAAACAAAATATCAAAAGAATGAAAATACCAATCATGCCAGCAGTTTTCTGAAACATACATACAGGACCTTACAAGAGTTTCCATTACATATAAGATTTATGAAACGAGTCTAAAAAAGGTTTTCAATTTAGCGAGCATCTGGCGAGTTTCGAGATTCATAAATTTCATATGAAATGAAAACGAGTGTAAGATCCTTTTTATCACATAATCAAGATTTGTGGCATTTGGTTCGTGTAAAACGACAATTTTCATGCAACCTTGAAATGTAAAAAGCCGCCATTTTGATTCTAGTGCGTAAGTCTGTGACGTCATATACTTGTCCTAGGCGTGACGTCACAATTGAAACAATTGAAATTTACAACCAATCCCAGGGCTGATAGGTCATATAACACGGGTTAATACGCAAAAAATATGACATGGGTATATTCACTAGAAAGCACAGTACATTATGTGATAAATAAAACGTAGCAAAATATGACAAGTGTCTACGAAACTATTTTATAACATTACATATTAACAACTTTTGGCTAAAACAATAACCCAAACTTCAAGGTTAAGACATGTATGTACGGGGTCTGGGAAAGGACACTGTGAAAACCCCCACAAAAAACCAAGATCTCGGTTTATTAATCCGGGATCTGAAAAAAATGACAAATTATAATATCGGAATTTTTTTTCACCCTGTCTCTTCCCGGACATTATCATTTGAAAAACATATTAATCTGTAAATATAGGTATACCTGTTGTGCTAACAATTTATACTTATATTTCCTTATCAGATGTTTTGACTGGTCAATATATCCGTGGTAACTCTCGATTAGTCGAAGGCAAATAATTGCGCTGGAGTATATAACTAGGATTTCTCGTTTGGGTGTACATTTAGTTATTTTTATTTTTATGAGTGTCCTGTTAGACTTCTGTTGTAATGCAATATGTTGCTTAGTCTTATGTTTAATGTTTATAGTTTAAGTTCACATTTCCAGTAAAAATGACGCAATATGATAAAAAAAAATCGAAATAAAACCCTGGGACTGACACCCAACATACCTAAAGACAGTGATTGTTACATTGTCTACAGGAATTATGTCTATAACTTTACCATGTAGCCTGTTAAAACATAATGCGTTGTCCGTATACTGTTCCTTTTCTGTAATCATGCCATATTCTACCAAAAAGACCTTTCTTATCTTAACCTGTTTATATTTGATACATGTACCTAGCTGGAGCCAATCTAATGTAATTACTATGAATCTCTAAATGTTAAATGCTTACATCGTGGAAATCAATCCGATTTATGATAGTACTACACGCATAAACGCCAGCCAGCTAAAATTAGCTCAAAACTTTCTTATATATTATGTAATTGTTCAAACAGGATCATATTGAGATGAAACATGAAAAACAATTATGAAAGTCAGGTCAATAGCACGTTTGCTTTACCGCGCACGTGAAGGATAATTAGATAAGATCTATCACTTAGTCATTAAAATTATGCAAAAATGCCGACAATAAAACAGCATTAAAGCATTTCTGATATGACGTCACTTGTTATCACAGTACCACGTGCATATACTGGAGTGCTCTCCCATGGCTAATGTTTTAGGTTATAATAAACATTGTAGGCAAAGTCGAATATTTCAAATGTTCAGATTATCAGCATAGCTGAGAGTAGTCGGAAACAGACAACCAACGGAACAAAAAAACTGCAAAAACAGTTGTTTTGCTATCGAGCAAACCCTACACTGCGTTTAAAGGAAATAACTAGTTATCGTAGATCAAAATTTCTTACTTTGCTAATATTAACAATTAATGTTTCTGAGGGAACTTCAGGAAAGGGGCACAGCATCTTTGAAGAGGATCGGTTTGCAAAGAAGTCCTGGTATCCCATCAGCATCACTGTCCCGATGTGCTTGTAGGACAAGCTTCCGATGTAAGGTTCACGAACAGACGAACTGCTAACAAGCGAGTAAAGCTGTGTTAATAAATCCATCATACGGGGATGTAAACTGTCTCTATCAGCATCTCGATCGCTTTGGATTTCTAGTTGGATGTTTAGATGCGCCAACATAATATTGGGTTCAATAAATACACGATTGGTTGACACGCCATTTGCTTCCATATGTGACATTACGAACAGTAGGACATGGTCGAGGTAACATGTCGAATGCAATTTCGACAATGTCAGGCCGATACAACGCTCCCGTTTTAGCATCGGCATCACAGTGTCCAAAATTGTTTTCACAAGGACAAAGTCCTTTTTCAGATATTGCTCAAAAGCATCAAATGCCCTGATGTTTGCTATTTGATCGATATCGGCTTTGTTTGCCTCTTCTTTCTGCGAATGTAAACTTTCTGTGCATTGTCGAAACTGACAAAACCCTGAGTTGATATATATTTCCTGAGATAGTGCGTGAATTTGTGGTGCAAGCATAGGTATTATTCTTTTGACTAACACGTCACAAAGCTTGCTGTCCTCCTGACCATCTAGTAGGATGTTTTCCAGTGCACGTACACATGTTTTCAGGGTACCTTTTGTGTGGTTTTCGAGAAGCGAGTGACTCGTCATACTGTGAAGACGTGTCAGGTAGCCGCTGATGTAGCCTTCTTTAACACCCTGTTCTGTCTTGATTTTCAGTGCCCCATCTATTTCCCGTATCCAGTTTTTCATGACAAGAGTTTCGTCTACACCGAGATCGAAGGATATTGTCGTCTTAATCATTCCCACCATTTCCTTTTTCATCGTGAAGAATCTTTTCCGCAGCATCGTTACTCTGTCGACATCCATTTTGTCAAACGGGAAAATATTGCAATCTGGGAGGAAGAATTGTTTGATATTTTTCTCGGTCAGGCATTTTTCCATATCTTCAAGAAGCTCTATTATGAAGGCTAGTGGTTTGATGTTATCCCAGTTTTCGGGTGTTTTAGATTCACATTTCCAAAACAGCAGTGTTTTCAGGTGATAGGAGGAGAATATGTCAAGATCATCCAAAAAACACTTGAAGACAAACTTCACAAGTCCAAAAAGGTGGCGAATTCTCGGCTTGCACTCTGCGATGCGATCAAAACATGCCTTTTCTACAAAGACAAATGATAATCTCCACTCCATGTCCGACTTCGGGGACCTGCGGTTGCCAGTTGGGACCACATAGAGAGGCACTGTATCCACTATTTTCTTTTTCCACTTGCTACAGAACATAGGATTAACCGGATTCCTCGACACCCATAGCATTGCTTCTTGTGTCCATGTGGTCAGCTTGAGACACGGGACAGCATCGGTTTCGTTTTTTGCTCCCTGAACTGCAATACTGGGACTCGATTTTTTCTGTGAGCCTTGCTTAGTTTGAAATCCACACTCCTTCACAACGTTTTCTTTGAAAATATTGGGTAAAAGTATGTGATCATCGTTTGAAGTTTCAAGCGATCGTGTAAAAGCCTTTTCAAATATCGGTTTATATTGGTCGTGTGATGCCAAGAACGTTTTCAATGATGACGGCGCATACAAAACACCGTAAGCGTTTCTTGCATCTTCACATTCGCAACTTGATTTGAAATACATATTTGAAGTCTCTGATTTTGATGCGTCAATGTGAACACCCGATACTTCAAATTTATAGTCCACATCACTTGCACCGTTCGGTGGGAGCATGCGCAATTGTCGTTCGACACGGCTTCCGGCTCGATGATGAAGGACGATGGTCAATGGACGTAATGCCCTCCATATTACATGGTGTATAATACGTATGTTGTATACGTCCTGTTGATATTTGTCCAGAATACGCAGATATTCCTCACATATTCTGTTAAGATTTTGCTCATTTTCTGTTGAAAGTACTGGTGGCATATTACTGAAAGAGTATATATGAACAAATTACATTTTGATAGTTTCCGTTTTATTTTCTGCTGTTTTATACTCAATAGCCATACAAGCTTTAAAGAAAGACTCAGAAGATTTTCAATATTCTTATTCAAAACAGAAGTGTTGATACTTTCGATTTAATGAAGTAGCAATTATTTTAGTATCGTTTCCACTTGAAAACTTGTATGAATTAAAAAAAAAATCAAAATCAAAAGAACATGAAGAACTTTCATTAAATGTTTTGCCGCGCAATAGAAAAAGTAAGATTACACAGCATTAATATTTTTTCGCCAGACACAACGGATATCATGTTATAACTACATGTATTTTACCCGTACTATATTCAACATGCTTAGATTATTCTGATTGTATAAAAGTTATATCTCCTCAAAATTTACTCATGTTTTAAATCAAATCAATGCACAAATGCATTTTAAACTCTTATATTTTATCATCGTGTTACAATCAGTCAACGAAGGCAGAATCAAGTTATATTTTTTATAGGTCACACGAAGCCTTGTTGGCATTCTTATTTTTAAGTGTCTGGTCGACTATTTAACATCTGGTGATGCATTCCGAATTTTAACCTTTGCGAAACCTGAACAAGCAGCTATACATTAACAAAGAAATCTCCGAAAGTAGCTTTCAGGTTTCTAAGCACCAGGGTTTTGGCTGTAAGGAAAGAAGTGGATACAGGTAGCAGAGTAAAGTAGAAATGGCCTGATCCTAAAAATAAAGGGCATGTCTCAGATAAACATGGATAGTGGATTAACCCTGCAAAACACACCTACATATATATCATTAAATTTTGGGAAAAAGAAAGCGATGTATAAGGTAGCAGTGTACAGTAGCACATATTGATGATATTTTTGTACAATGAATAACCCCTGTAATATAACATGTATCAAAATTTAAAAAAGACATCAGCACTTAAATTGGCATATACATGATGAAGTGGACTATGTGGGTTTCATAATTTAAAACAAAAGCGAATTTGGTTTGAGACTGCAGTTTCGGCTATTTACAAATCTGTGTCTACACAACAAAAGCTAGCTTTTCATGTAGTCTATTTTTATACCAAGCACATATGTAAATATTGTGAAAAAATCCAGTTGAACGACCTATGCTAAAACGTGAGTATTTCTGTTACCGAGTAGGTGATATTTGAATTAAGACAGGTTTTAGGAAAAAAAATATTTCTTGCGTGGGTCAAATTTTGGGGTTAAAATCCCAAATGTGAGGAAAACGTTTTCTGAGAAAAAAACAATCTTCTAAAGAAATGTATTCAAAATGTAATTTATAAATAAATATATATATATATATATATATATATAGTAGATAATAAATAAATAAGTCATTGCGAAGGAAAATATAGAATAAAAACAAATTTTTCAGATCGTCCGCATATCACTGCTACCTTATACATCGCTTTCTTTTTCCCTTTTTCCTTTAATAGTGACCGAGTAATATGAATTTTCCTGACAAGTGATTTTTGACCAATTCTGCTCTCAAACAAAGGGAGTTCATCTGAAAAATGAAATCTTGAATAGATTTGTAGTTTTCATGAATGGAATTTCATTTTGGGTGAAATATGATACTTTGAGATCATGTGCACACGAAAAAACAGAACAGTACAGCGAGACTATTATGTTTTTGTCTTGTATGATGACGTCATAGTTACTGTGATGTCATCAAACTATGATGTCATCAATGGGCCATCTATGATATCATCAAGGCTCACTGATGTCAAAATGATCACCAGGAAACCCATCACAACAAGCAACTAGCGACAGACACACTTTCCGTAGCCTATGAACAGCATCAAAATGTCATATATTCTGAAACATTTGACAAGTGACACCATAGCAACCGTTGTTTACTTTCCTCGCCTAGAAATGATTTAATTTTGGTACATGTAAAATTACAGTGGTTATTCATTGTACAAAAATATCACCCATGGCCACCATATGCTACGGTTCACTTTTACAACAATATAATACATCGATATGTACAATAACTGGTTACAGGTATGGACAGTATACACCTAAACAGTAATATGCAACAAAAAGCCACCAGTCTGCTACAAGATCAATCGATTGATTGAAAATACTTCAGAACCAACACAACTACGTTTTACAATACTAATAAGACATGTATGCGTCCGCTTGAAATTCCATAGGTATGATTATTTTTAGCTATAATACACTACCGTTCAATAGTATATTTTTGTTTCGAAATTTGCATATTGGAATGGCAATAGGCCTAGGCAATAAAAATGGCTATGCTAAATGTGTAATACGAAAGACCTTAGTTAAATGTGTCTTTCTTTGTAACATAGTACATATTTATGTTATGACAATTAACAAATAAATAATGTTTAACACAATTACCTTAAGTGATCCCAGCTAGTACGTACACATATCGTCAATTCATTAAAAACAGTGGACACATGAGATCAGTATAAAACGCCTGTCAGTGCAGATCCATATCTAAGTCATTGTAAGCACCTAGTACACGTCACATCCAGCTAGACAACAATAAACTACATGTAGTCTCCAATGTTAATAGAACTATTTTCGGAGAACCGTTTTGTTTGATAAACTTTGAACCCAATTATATGCCAAAAAATTACTTTAAATATTTGTTGATTTGTATACCTTTTGTCTTTTAGCGATCCTCTGGTTTAATACGAGTGACTATGCAATAATTCGATATATGTCAAGTCTGCTTACTGCCGCTTATCGATTTTCTGCTAACGCATATATGCATAAACACAATTGTAATTTAAAATAAACAATGGAACAAAACGAAACTCGATAAACAAAACAGTCAGTACCGTTAAGTCTACACGATACAGGTAGTATTTTCGAAACCCCTGGCCGATTGACAGCAATATTTTGTTATTTACAGCGCTTCATTATTAAGTGTTTTATTTCATACTACAACGGTGATTGTGGGGGAAACTACTGTGTTGTCAGTATTAAATGAACAAATACATGGTTGTAGGCGGTAGTATTAAATCTTTCCGTTCGAACTCGATAAGTTCAAATATTATAAGCACAAGTTAAATCCTAAAGTGCAGTTTTCAACAGATAATGACCCTCTGTCATCCATGTTTTACATATTTTCTATATATTTGTCAGTCTTTCTTTGATTTTATTTATTTATTTATTTGTTTGTTTATTTAATTATTTATCTATTTATTTGTTTATAGGGGTGAATGAATTTAAAGAAACCATAACTTAATATGTATGTTTATAGAAGTCAAGCTTTTTATGTAGAACGTGGTTTGCTTTTTTGTTTGATTCAGAAACCCGTGATCAGGACATTAAACGGAAGAAACGTTACAATTCAATTACATTTGTGAAGAGTATCTGTGGATTCCAGACAATTACCAATCAGAGGTATACAACATACGAATGATTCACCACGTGCTATGGAGAGAAATGCGTGCACTTTCAATCGTCATCCACCATCGAACAAGAAGTTAAAACGCCAACTGCGCTTGCTACCACAGTTTGTCATCGAATGTCTTTTGGATGAGATAATAGTTCGCCCTCCTACTTCCTGAAAACACTGCTGTATTGGGTGTGTGTTTTGAAACTACCCGAAGAATAGGAAGACGTAGCACCACTCGACATAACATGCCTAGATGAGAAAAAAATATTCCAGATCAAAATATGTTGACGTTTGCATTAAGACGACAACATAGTACAGGTGCTACGGAAAAGATTCGCCGCAATGAAGAACGACATTGTTTTAACAAAGAAAACAGACGTTTTTGGACGCTCTCAAAATAAGTTTTCAGTTATTTTTATGCTCAAAACAAACCTAGCATTTATAACGTCATTTTTGAATATACTTAACCGTGTGTTAAGTTAACAAACACAATTCAGTCAAGTTTAGATAGCATCAGAAACATGTGGGCAATAAAGCCTATTATATTTTCAGGAATTTTGCTGTTTTTCTCTAAAGTGTTTCTTATGTTCCTGTTTGTTTTAATCACACCCACTTCGTGCCCTTTTACTTGCCATTGCATTCCGACTCTGGGTTATTTATTTGCCTGGTGCGTTGACAATTTGAAATTATAAATGCTTCTACATTAATGAAAATACTAGATAATGAGTTGCTGAGTAAGCTGCAAATATAAGAGCAATCACGTTGTCTGAAGATGTTTGCCGACGGAATGAACATACCGCTGCTGGAGACAAGTTTCTCAACCTAAACATGATATTTCCTATATACATACAAAAGGATTTTTTCTAAATTAAGCTGGCACTGCCTGTCCTTCAACCTTTGCAATGATAATGTCGTTGCCAAGTAATTAATCTCACTAGAAGAATAAGAAAATAGTTTTCTGTATGCAGTTTTAAAGGAGAATTCTTGTGAAAGGGGAATAACAGGTGATATATTAAAATAGTATAACGTGTCGTTTTAATTATTATGATATAATATGGTTTGCAGAAAAGCTTTGAAAACATCGCAAGCATTTGGCTGAAGAACCTAGAGCAAAATGGAACGAGTGACCTAGTGGTGATGATCGTTGGAACCAAGTGTGACCTTCCGGGTCGACAGGTTGATTACGTCACGGCGAAGGTAATATTTTTATCTGAAAACCACTGCAGAGTTAAATGGGAAATAGGGTTGGGGGAGGGTGCACCAGAGCCCAATAGGGGCGACACATTTTCATCTTCCGTGGTTCTGATAAGACAGTGTTAACTATAAGAGATGCAGATCAATTTCCATCATTGATTTTAACAAAAACTTATAGACGAAAATATGCCTCTCGCTACCATGACAAAGTCAAACTATTTTAAGGGCCGATTCACAATCAAAGATGGCCACCTATCGTTAGTTTGGCTGAGACATTCGCACCAACTTCCAGCTTGCATTTGGTAACCAAATTTGATGTAATTATTTTGTATGGCCCTGGAGAGATGATGTTAAGTTTGGCTTGTTTCGAAATTTGAAATGACCAAGTCTTCCGAGATTATTTTTATTTATTCGTAATACCACCGAATGACATTTTTCAAAAGTATGTGCATTTATATTTTAGTTTTCATATCAAATATATTTGCAATTCTTTGTTTTGAAAGAAATCCTAGATGCACGATTTTATCTCGTTTTAACGCGCTAATTAACTATTATCCCATGATAATGCGATAAATCATTTACTTTCTCCTTTAAACGCGTTAGCTATCGCGTTAAATAACGCGTTAAAACGAGATAAAAATAGGGTTTTAACTTTTCAAATGTACACTGTTAGGTTTCCTTATGTTTTACAGTACAACACAGAATAAATAATATATTCTTCCTAATAGTATTGTAGATAAATGATGAATTTATGATAATTTAATCCTGCTCCAGCAATGTTATAATAAAATGTAACAATAAAAAAAAAATGGGCGTTTTATGAGATTTTATTGTTCGATGAAAGCTACAAATGTGTTATATTTGCAGAGGTTTGCCGACAGACTGAATGGATATAAGTTCCCTGACAGGATATGGCATTGACCGTGCCATTACGTCTGCTGTTGCCATGGCCTTATATTATTCAAAATGCGTCTTCGATACTTGAAACGGAATATGTCTATGGTAAGAGGAAAACGGACACTGACTGTCAACTCTCCTGATGGCTAGCAAAACGCCACATATCTCCGACAACCACCGTGGCTGGATGTCATTGATACTGTTGGTCCAAATATCAAACAAAAAAATGACTCTGTCAACTGTACTGGCAGTTTAAGCATATAACAACAGCAGTCAAAGTATCTAACAATATTGATACTGACTGTCAGTCGTATGTACAGTTTAAATATCCAACAACATTGACACTGTCAACTTGACGGTCAGTCTAGAGATATAACAACACTGACACTGACTCTCAACAATTTTGACGGTCAATATATCTAACGCCAAGTGATATTGGCTGTCAGATGCACTAAGGATTAAAAGACCGTTAGTCGTATTTATCAGTTTATATATCCAACAACAATGACACTGTCAACTTAACGGTCAGTCTACAGCACCGAAACTATTTACATTATCTATGTATATGGCTATCAAAGTATTATGCTTCAAAATAACTATTAACGAAGTTTTTTATTTGCATTCTTTTATTAAGCGAAGAATTATTATCAGGTTATTGTGAGGGAAATAGGAATTACTTGAAGTCTAAAATTCCTTGAATCGGTTGGCTCCATTAAGACACCATTATATCATCTTGGACCCTGTCGTTCATTCATTACCATGAAAATATTAATATTATTGTGAAAGTAATAGCACATGTGTGTGTTCAAACGCATTTTTTTATGCTATGGTTGTCTTCACCATTTACCACTGTGGCTATATAAGTTGAAGACCGTTCTTGTATCCCTGGTTAAGGATACGATGTCCACTGCACTGAGAATTTTCCTATATACCGTAATCTCCTCTAATTTTCCATTTGGATATTACTTTAGTAGAGTTGGGCCAAAACCCTCTGTTGGCAAGTGAGCTTACTCGGTTAGAGCGATAGTACATCAATCTGCAGGTTTCGAGTTCCGGTCTAGCCCCGATGAGTTTTTTACACTCAAAACACTGTTGTTGATTATGTTTTGTTTATTTCGTCTTTATTATTTCTAATAAAAATACTGCAAGGTATGGTTTTCTTTTCGGAAATGATGTATCAAAGCCATAGGCATGCACGAAAAAAACAGTTTCCAACACTTGTAGCATTTTTTGCAGTGATACGGGGATCCCTATCTCGTAGGATAGTAACTGTGAATGGCGATTTTAGATGACGTGACACTGTCACTGTATCTGTAATATATGTGTTTGAAGTGTTCAGAAGAAACATGTGTTTGTGTTATGGAGTTTGTTAATAAATTGCGTTATTTTATGTACTGTTTATCCCGGGCTTTGCTTGTTTTTCTGGTTAACTGTTCCTTACTATATACTAAACATTATACCTTGATCGTAAGATGTGGATCTTTGATTGGTAGGAATGTCAGTGCGACAGTGTATTCACCGATTCACAGACCACACGCTATCCATTGGGACTGTCTTCAATGCACTGACCGTCAGACAGCTTGACATTAATCTATTAATATATCAGGAGGGAAACAAAAGATGTCGCCTATGTCATAAGACCCATCGAAGATATGTTTACACTAACTGATTATTATACCTACCTAAAAGTGTTCTACAAGATATCAGCAAATCACCTGCTTGGATTCAGGTAACATCGCTCGTGTGAGAAACAGCTTGTTAACTTCATTAAGACATTAGCACTACCACTGGATCGACGGAAGTAGGTAGACGTTCTGATATAAAACGGGAAACAGAAACTGTCAAATTTGAATAAAGGAAAGATTTACATGGCGACCCTTTAAAGTATAAAGAAACTCCAGATATTTCGGAAGTGTTAGCGTCGTATGCTTCATCGACGACACCGGTCATGTAAATATAGATCAAATGCAAGTCATGGCACATCA